TCCTAATTTAAGGAAAAAGACTGCTACATTTCTTGTTATTGTTTAAAATCTATAGATCTGACTTTGATGTTTGAAACACAGTGATGTAATGTCTGTGTCTAATGCTGAATTTGATGCTAGTAGTTCTTGAGTGTGAATTACACATGCAGAATAGATTGGAATCCATTCTGCATGTGCAATTCACATGCATTCCCATTGAAAACCTTGGTAACAGGGAACTGAGGTAGATTTTCATCTTGCTTTTGGAATATGTTGTAACTTTAGTGTCAAGGCAATTTTCAGGCCAAGTGGAAAGATACCCAGAGTATTTAAGGGTTACTGGAATGTGGCTTTCAGTGTCACTTCTTGAGATGAAAGCACCTAAAAGGTGCAAACTCCTTTTCAGTCTGTAAGTAAGGTCTTTGGATTTTGTCTTTTGAAAAAAACACGTGTAATAATGAGGAAAGCTGGCTTTTAGGAAATATGCATCTTCTGAAACAGAAGTTTCTTGAGTGTGGTCTTGTTTTTTTCATGTCCACTACACATTCTCTCTTGAATCCTGTCTGTTTCCCTTGTTTCATAGTTTTTTTGATGGATGGCTTTGTTGACTTTCTTAGGTGAAGGGCAAAGTAATTCCAAGCTTTGCAAAACAGACAGCACAAAACCAGAAGGATCAGTGGAAACATCATTGCCTATCCTCTTAATTGAGCATTGTGACTATTTTGTATGTTTCCATAATGAAGAAAACATGTAAGTCCTTTAAAATAGCACCTTGTATTTGATTCAAATTTATTTCTCGGAGTTCCTATTGATTCTTGGATTATTTTCACTGTAAATTTTTATGTTTTGAAAAACACTATAGGAAAATCAAATAATGTTTTTAGTGGCATACAAGTTTTGGTGGCCTACTCTTAGGAAGATAAGTACACAAGCTGATAATTAAAACTGGATTTTCTTCTGAAAAATAAGTCCATAAAAATGTCTTTGAGAATATCCATTGTGGAATCTATTGATACTAGCTGATTAGGGAAGATGAGTTAAAAAGTAATTAATAAATCATATTTATTTTGAGTTTGCTTTCCTAAAGAAACATCTGATGCAGCCACTGTGTGACTGTGTCAGTTTGCCTTCCAAATTTAAATAATTTTTGAACTACGTAACCTGCTTTAGTCAAACTTCTGTCAGAGGGACAGATATTTCAGAACATAATGCTTTTACTTATTCCCATGGAATTGGTTAGGCAGGTAGAATTAATCCTTACATTGCATTTCTTTCCTGAAGAGAAGTTTAACCATAGTATCAGGCACCTGGAGATCTGTTCCAACAAGAACTGTCCACAAGAACAACCTGTTTGTGTTGTAATTTATGATTGTCACTTGTAGAAATTTATTAGCCACATCATGTTTTAGAAAACTCTTGTCCTAACCTTTGCTCTGTGGTGGGTTATTCAGATGGAACTGATTAGTCTCTGGTTAGATATATAAACAACTTTTGACAAACAAAGAAGAAAAATATCCAGAGTCCAGGACAATTTTGGTTATCTTTATGTTAAATTTAAGTAATTATTCACAGTTTTTTTCATGATGCCTGCATATTTAGAAGTATCACCATTGAGAGGAATGAAGTGCTGATTTTTAACTTGCACATCTCAGGCATACTTTAATGCAGTGACAGCACTTGAAGGTCAGATGATGAATTATTACAGTCTGTCTTATTGCTTGTATAATACCACTCTCAAAGTGTCAAAACTTTGTCTTCATCACAGCTGTAGGTTTGATTTGAACAGGAGCACATCTTTAAACATGACAAGTTTTCTGGCGACAAAGATCCATCATGTCCCTATTGAAGTTCTTCCAGGAACTGACTCGTTCAGTTCTATTTCCCGTCTGAATTACTCTCTTTTCATATACTGGTTTTTAGTATGTTTTTTACTCTGATGGTCCAGTGCCAGCCACTATGAAGTTCCCTCCTTGGAGAGTAAATTACAGCTCATGAACAAGTTACCTCTGCGCTTCTGGATAAAGTAGTTTGTACCTTGTAGAAGGCATGCTTTGTGTAACATTTTTCATACCCACCTGTTACTGCTTCGCATTGTACATCTAAGATCTATTTGTTCTTTCAGCTATCACATTTCAGTTGAAGGTTTTGTTCTGCTTATAAGCAACCATGGCCATTAAATTCTTACTACTAATTCAATTCCATTATATTTTTGCTTGAAATTTTGTGTTTATAATTTTTTTTCTATTTATTTTTTAATAACCATGTGTTGATTTTTGTGGGTGCTTCAGATTTGTCTGAACAGTTGAGCAATTCCTGATATATTGCTTTTCCTGCCTTCAATGAAAAGCAACAATGAAACATTTTTGGAACACTTCTGTCCAAAATTAGGCATCTCACACTTTCATAAGCTTTTTGACATTGAGCAATCTCATCACAATGGATTTTATTATTGTAAAGTGAGAATGAGTTAAACTTTTTGGATGTATCACTTTATGGTGTTCATAATAGCTTGATAGTAACACTTCTTTATAAATAATTCAAAGAATTTACAAGTTAAACCAATCTGTTACTGCTGTAATGAAAGTAGTGCAAACCACAAATAAAACTATTCATATCACATAAAAATATCACAAACCAGATATGAAACTGTCTATTCCAGTCTGCTTCTTAACATATTTGACTACAAAAATTTGGGTTTTTTTCCCTTTTTCCTTATCCTTGCTTCAACTCTTGTGGTCTGATTTAAAAAAATTAAACTAATAAATCTACTGACTCCTATTTGGAAATTTTATTAAATGTTGATATTAATTTTTATTTATTGTGGCATCAAAAAATTTTTAGTTTTTTGGAGACTGACAAGAGTTATTTTATTTCAATTATCTTATGCTTGATAATATATTTCTTCTGTGAGGGTGTTGACTGAATTGTAACCAGTTGGTTTACTCTGTGGTGCTTGCAGAAGCTGGATTTTATTACTCAACTGCAATAGTGCTGCCACCAAGCACAGGCTGAGACAGACATTCCAGACTTGCCTGGGGTTTTTTCCCCTCAATTTGTGCTGGTTTTTCTCTTGTACTTTAATTGTGTAAAAACATACATTGAATTTCACTGCGCTTTGTGTGTTCATATGAG